GCTTAGCCTTAAGTATGGTTATAGGTCTAGAGGCAACTACTATTGGTCCTTGAAGGACATCAGTATTGTCTTGCTCAACATTTCCTTCAGAGAAAGTCACTGCTGATTTAGCAGACAATGAAGGATTAATTTCCTCAGTCAAAGGCAGAAAGCACAATATATCAGTGGATGGGAAAGGGAGCACACCTGCTGATTATGTTTTCTTTTAGAAAGAGTATTTCTTCAAGTGAGACAAACCCTTGAGAATCTGAGGGTTCAAAGTTCTCAGTTTCAATAGGGTCCTCTAACATATCTAAGTTACACAATCCCATTCTTCACCAATTAATGACTTTAATCACTGATACCCTCCAAGTCAGGGACTTGAATTTTCACTGTGTGTTAGCAAAACTTAGGATGAAGGGCTTCAGTTTGATTTTCCACAACTTGAGCTCTGTGGCTGCTGGAGAGAATATTCCCTTTTAGGGTACACTTAGAAACCTTTAGACTGTTTATGAGCATCTGGAGCTGAACAATTTTGTCATTGAGTTTATTATTGTCCTTCACTGTATTCTGAGATGCTAGAAGTTGGTTGATTTTATGATAGAGCCCATTATTTTCCTTTGTCAATTCATCCAGAGATGCTGGGAACAACCAACCACCATCATCATTTTCCTTATTTTTCCACAAATTGTCAAAAGTTTTATATACAGAGTTGGCAACTCCATTGCTTCTCACCATTGGTGAATCAAGATGATCAAATGCATTTTGTCTCCTTAAGTTTGTAAAATAGTTTACACCATGGATTTTCGGTATTCTCTGATCTGCTAGGAGAGACTTTAGTAACTGGAGAGGCTTTGGTGGCTGTAGATGTTGGCAAATTGGAAAGCCTATTGAAGATTCTTGAGAAATCCATGCTTATACTGTCACTCCTGATACTAAAATCTTTATAAGTCATAGTTCTCAATATCAACAGAACTTATAGAATTTATCTATCTATCTACCTATCTATCTGTCATCTATCTATTATCTATCAATCATCTATCATCATCATCACCATCATCATCATCATCATCATCATCATCATCATCATCATCATCTACCTAGAACATAATAAGGACTTATTAGAATGGCTTACAGGTCTAGCTAGTCCAACGATGACTGTCTACCAATGGAAGCTCCAAGAATAGAGTAGTTGTTCAGTCCATGATGCTGGATATTTCAGCTGGTCATTATTATATACCAGAATCCTGAAAAAGTAGGCTCTAATGCCAGTGGAGGGATGGATTTCCCAATGAGAACATTTAGACAAAAAGAGCAAGCTTCCTTTTTCCACATCCTTTATATAGGCTGCCAGAAGTAAGTGTGGCCCAGATTAAAGATGAATCTTCCCACCTCAAAAGATCCACACTACATTTGTATCTTCTCACCTCTAAGGATCTGGGTTAAAAATGGGCCTTACCACTTCAAACAATTTAATTGAGAAAATTCCCTCACTGGTGTACCTAGACACTTTGGTTTTAGTTAGTTTCAGAAGTAGTGAAGTTGACAACCAAGAATGGCCATCAGAGCCTATATCAGCATGCCTTCTCTGCCAGCATGGTCCGTATCATTCCCTTCCTGCTGTATCATGTCTTCCCTGCCACAATGGCCTGTATCATGCCTTCTTTGTCACGAAGATTATATGCCTATAACCCACGAGCTAGAATAAACTCATTCTTTTGCTTTTGTCTGGCATTCAGCCACAGCAAAAATAACAATAGCGAATGCAGAAAGTGATGCTAACAAACGAGCTCATTGCTGTGAGAACCTGTATCTGCCTTGTCTGCAACTCTAACGTCATGTATACTTATTTTCTCGATAAACTGCCTATCATGTATGTTCTGGGGCTCCACCTACTTTTCTCTCTCAGCATAAAGCCTGGGAAAGAAGCATGTGAAGTGACTATGCAACAGGCTGGAAACGATGGTTTCTTCATATTTTCTCTGCCAAACAACTGAGTCCATTGCTTTTGAACTTGGCCTCACTTGAATTCCTAGGATCCTTCACATTCCTCACTCAGGCCATGCTCTGTGTGGCTGCTTCAGAGAGTAAATGAACTTGGAGGGACTGACAGAATCAGGCTATTGACCACCAATGCAGGATTCCTCAATGGATGCTCAGTTCTGGCCAATATTTGATTACTATTAGCCTGTTTCAGGATTTGTCAGTATTACCCTAAGTTTAGAGGCTTCTCCAGTCCAGTCCTGCTCTTTTTCCTCTCTCAGCTATTGGGCTTACATCACGGCTTGGAGCCTCTCAGCTTACTCGCCCTCTTCTTTCCGTCAGGCACAACAACTGCCTCCAAGCTATTGGATGTTTGATTTCACTCTACTCTCAGATGATAGGATTCGGGTAAAAGGAACTTCCTTTATTATTTTAAAGGTTTTCTCTGTTTTTTTTTTTTTTTTTACTTATTAATACTTTGTAAATAAAGAGAAGGGGAGAGAAAATAGACCAAGGCCACAGGTGAAAAGATTGTCTTTAAATTGGAGGAGACAGGAGGAAAAGGTACAACTTGGGGGTGTCCATAAATATAAATTAGAAACAGAGAAAATGGGAAGATGACATATGTTTGCATGCCTAAGCCAGTCTCAAGCTGAAAGCTGAAGGGGAAGAAAGGAAACTGGAAAGGAATTCTGAAATATCTGTGACTATATTAAATTTATTTGTAGTTCTGGGATTATGAGTTTAGTCTGGATTTTTAATTGCAAAACAGGGGAACAATGTCATTTATTGCCTAAGAGAGAAGACAAAAATTTAGATTCATTTTAGACCTCACAGGATGGGAAAATATGTTGGTAAAGTAAACTGGGTAAAGAATATAAAGGAAAGTTATTTTATAATAAACAGATTGATCTATGTTAATTCCATAAGAATTTATATATTAGAGACATTGTTAATATTTCTATATGGCTAGGAACAGATGATGTAACGCTTAATGTGCTATTACTCCCAATAGCTGAAAATAAATTGGGTCAATATCTAGCCAAGAAAGATTCAAAGGTAGTTAATTATTTAATAATAGCATTATTGTTTGTTTGAAACATTGGTCATGTACAGTCCTAGTCAGCCTTGAACTTGAACTTTTCCTGACTCATTCTCCAGAGTGCTGGGATTACAGAAAGGTACCATTAGGCCTTGGATACAATAAATTTTTTTCAAAATGAAAATGATCATATGCCAAATACTAGTATGTCAAGAAGAGGCAAAACCTCATGTTTGAATAAACTGTGTGATGCTGTTTGGGTGATTCTTTTTGACAGCTCATTGGGAACCGAGTGCCCCTGTGCCAGTATGTCCTGAACTGCAACTTACATTTCACAAGACCACCTCTTTCTGTTTTCTAGTCTGTGGAAACTGGTTCAAGGTGAAGGGCATCACTTCATCTTCTGGTCTATGGAGGACTTGTATTTCTAATAATTCAGTCCAAACAACCTCATTTGACCCAACCGAGCCAGTTCAGTGTGGTCCTCCAGGGGTTATTTGAAGTTGCAAGCTTGCCCTCTTCCTCTGACTCTGTAATTAGTGGTAGACAAGCCAGAGTTGCTGAGATTATTTAGGTTTGAGTGGAAACTTGCAACAGCAATGGAAAGAATAGAACAAGTCATGCTTCGGATGAAATGACTGCGTCATCGAAACAAACCCAACATCTGCACTATCACCGACCCTCAGCTTTGTGAGTCAGCTTGTCTGATCCGTTGTGCAAACCACTATGGGTCAGGCGTTTGTGTTCTAACTGAAGAATCTCTGCTTCAGTAGCTTGAAATTCTAAGACTTGAATCCTGGTGCTTATAGACATAAAAACTTAGACAAGTTGTCCAGTGATGTTGATCATTCATATAACCATTTGTAAAGTGATCGTGGTAATATCAAGTTTTAAGTTCATATATGTATACATATATACATATATGGAGAACAAATATAAAATACTTTGTTCAGAATAGTTATCTATAATGATTTTTTTCATCCCTGGTATACAACATAGTTTTTATACATAAATGCCAATTAATCAATTTATACTCTGAAATCATGAGAAATTTAAATTATTTTTTCTAAAACAATTATGAACATGAATGGAATCTATAACCAAACACATGTCACCCCCTTAGGTTTATAATAAGGATACTTGTGGTGTTCAGTCCCAGCTGATACTTTTACAACATGACTCCGACGTACAAGGCTCAGGAAACATTGAAGAAGGGATGGAAAGATTGTAAGAGCTGGATATCAGGAAGTCTGCTGTGAGAGTGTGTCTTCTAGATATGACAAGTAAGTTATGACATGGTTGCCTCAACAAGATCTGGAAAATTCCAGCACCACTAGACATCACAGCATGGATGGAAGAAATCTCACAAGGCTCCCACCCGTAGATGAAGAGCTATAGGCAATTAATGACTGTTGAGAAATAAAGAGTTAGTCTTCTGCAGAAATGAGACCCTGAATTCATTATCCAATACAAATGGCTAGTCTTGAAAACATGTGTAAAAAACAACACAAAGTGGAATCAGTAGATTGTATTTACATATGTATTAACACATTTGTAGCAATAATAATAATAATAATAATAATAATAATAGACCAGGAGTTAGAGAGGGAGTTGGGGGAAGACCTGGGAGGAATTCAATGGAGGAAAGGGATGATAATACTTAAATTAAGAATAAAATTTTTAAAGTTTACAAGAAGAGGCATAATGGCAACAATTCAGTGCAAATAGAATTCCCAGAATCCTTTGCATACTGACAAACAGTCAGCATTTCTGTGTCTATCAGAAGAGTGTATTTCATAATAAAGCCTGGACTTTAAAATAATATGTGGTTATGGCACAAGCACTTCTCAATATTGTTTGGTAACCACTCTTAGAAGTTGCTTCTACTGCTCATGCATATGTTACAAGATGGAGACAGGGTTGATTATCTTGTACATGTTGATAGGGTTGAGAGGACTGCTCTGGTATGAATTAAACTTGTTATGAGAGCACTTACTGGTGTCCACTTCAGTCACCACGATTGGTTTGGAGAACTGAATCCGGAATCCCCAGGGGTAATCTCCAGTTCCTTTGAATAGTCTCACAGTTCGCTCACGAACTGCAAGGAAAGCAAAGAATACATTGCTTTGAGTTGACATTCAGTACTACACACTGCTACAGTACTGTAAAAGTGGCGTGTTTGCTTGTTGAGATTACATGTCAGGCCTAACAGAAAGGTTCCAAGCAATACTATGCAATAGAATGCATTAATTATACAAAGTTCTGGGTTTCATTGTTATATTTTTATACAATGTGATCTAATTGCATCTTTACAACAGATGATGATGATGATGATGATGATGATGATGATGATGATGATGATTAATATTTAGAGAGAGAATATTGAGATGTAGAGGTTAAGTACTCATGTCAAGAAAATAAAGCTTACTACTGTTAGGCAGCACTATACCTTAGGATTCATCCTTAACCACTCTGTCATAGCTACCCAAACAGCATACAGATCTTGTAATCCTGAGTTGTTTAGATCTGTAAATAAGAGAATTTATCACAACATTATTTGTTGGACCAAATTTGGGCTTTACCCAGCAGGTCTGCATAAAGAGGACGATTGGATCATGGGCCTGAGTGCAGGTGTCTGAGATGGTCTACACTCGACTGTGCTGGGGGGAGGTCTTTTGCTCCACCCCTTGGCGTCTCTATAAATACCCTGGGGCAGAGACAGTTGAAGCACGGTGGATTGGGATCCAGGCCCTCCCAAGTCTATCCTGTATTTTCTGTCTTTTTCTCTCCCTTCTTCATTTCTAACTAAGTCTTTTGTCCCTCATTCCTCAATAGTCCCTGGGGTAAATAAATATGGGGGCTGGTCCTCCACAATTATTCATGGAAATAAGAAAACTGAAACACATTCCACAAACTGAGCTTTTACAAGAAGCCAAGAAAAGTAACAGACCTGGCTCACTCAGAAAAATACCAGATCAATTGGTTTTGAAGAGGTTGGAATTGTCAGGTTTGGCTGTACTGTCACTGGAGAGTCCTAAGATTTTCACAGTTAGGGTGCACAGATTTTGCAGTCATCAAGATAACTTCAATTACTGTAGCCCAGTTATTAATCTACTTTCCATCCTGCTACCTTCAGACCTTCTTTTCTGTATCATACTCTCTGCAGTGTGTGTGTGTGTGTGTGTGTGTGTGTGTGTGTGTGTGTGTGTGTGTTCCTGACAATTACCGCTTGTTAATCAGTTTAACTTATTCATAACATTACTCAATTCATTGACCCTTTTTACTCTTCTCTACCTCAAGGCACTTTTCCCTCTATGCTCACTATGAAGAACAGCCTTATAGATCACAATCTTCTCTGTTCAGAACGATTAAGGGTTGTTACTCCTCAGAGATGGGGGGAAAAGCATGACTCCAGATTGTGAACATCATGGGCATTTTGCCTTGGAGACTTGTAAACAGTAAGTAAAGAGTAAGTGATAATAAAGTATAATTGGTAACATTCCTGAGCTTCAGAAGTAGGTTCTAAATAACAGTTTGGCTCCCAGGTACTTGTGAAAATGCTAAGCAATTATAAGATAAGGATTTCAAGCTATCAAAAAGAATAGGGTAACCTAACACCTTAAAATGGAAATTTAATAGGATTCCCTTTCATAAAAAGTATAAATGCGTTAGAATTTCTGGGTAATAGATTTTGCTGCTTTTTTTCAACCCGCTGCTCCCTTTTCTTCTGTGGATGTTACGTGTTGCTTCTTAGATTCAGATCTTTCTCCAGGTTACAGTGGAAAGATGTTTCTTTTTTGTAGAGTTGCCTTATCTTCAAGTCCACATCCAAAGGCACATTCGGAGTACACATGTGTAGGTAATATATAGGCGGATTAAAAGCACATAGGAAGCCAAGGGAACTCATGAGACTTTGAAGTAATAGACAACAATGCTCTCAAAGGGGGGATGGAATGATACAATTTCTTCATGTGGATTCCAGAAGGGATGTTTGCTTTTGTAAAACGCCTGAAGAAAACTTCTTCTTCTTCCTCTTCTTCTTCTTCTTCTTCTTCTTCTTCTTCTTCTTCTTCTTCTTCTTCTTCTTCTTCTTCTTCTTCTTCTTTTATCAGGAAAAGCAAAGTAATATTGCTGAGAAGGTGTTCTGTGGATTCTAGCTCTAAAGTTCTGTGTTCTGCAAAGCTCTGTGCCTCTGGGAAAGTTTGTTACTCATTAAGGGAATTCTCTCTTGGCATAACTATTTGGAAAGTGTCTTATTGGATCTCATAATTTAAGAGGCAGAACTGGGAAATTCAAGGACTTAGGAATTAATATTTCAACACTCTGAGATAGGCTGGTAGCTAATCAGGATGAAAAGGGAAAGCAGAAATCCATTTCTGACTGCTGTAACAATAATTTCTAACCTCTACTTTTCAAGGTTTCTTGTTCCCTCTAGGTTACTCTCATGGTGCTATCTTCTGCTTTTGACAGATCGATTTACTCAACACATATTTGATTAATGGAAGATTTTTATGTGTTGAATCAAATCAAATCACATTTGTTGTTTTGTTTTTATATTTCACGAGACTATTAAAATAGCTATTGCTTTCAAGGCCATATTTCTGTGGTTTTGGTTTTTCAATCAAGCAAATTGAATGTCAACAACATGTATGAAAGAATAAACATTTCAATAAAGTCTTTAAATGGTGAGCTCAGCTGTAGAACTCTCCTGTGGGAGGACACAGTCAACATGTTTGTAACGTGTTCCTCCCCCATTCTGAAGACAATTTTCTCATATTTTAAGATTTGTAGCCTTACTTTCCCATGGCACTGTCTAGTGAATAATCTATAAGTGCCACGCAGCTGCTGAGAAGCCACAAATGAATGTCATTGTTGTTTCACAGAGTGTGGATGCATCGTCAAGTAATTTATCCCTCTAGATGACACTTGGTTGTAAAAATCCAAATAAAGGTCAAATATTTCCATAAAAATAAGAAAACCCACACACCAAAACACTCTACATTTTTAACGTAGCTACAGCAATGTAGCTTTGCACGGAGAGATCCCTTTGTTTATTTTACAGCTCAAAATGTCTAGGAAAACAAGGATTGAGTTTTGTTTTATAAGTATAAAATTTATTTATCATAAAATACATTGTAACACATGTAAATTAGCATTACAGTATTTTGGAAGTATTATTAGGTTACTAAAATATTTTAGTTAAAATTTGTCCATTTGCCTGTGGGCTCACTTTCCAATGTCTACATTCATTTCTTTCTTTTCTTTTTTTTTTTTTGGTTTTTCAAGACAGGGTTTCTCTGTGTAGCTTTGTGCCTTTCCTGGAACTCACTCTGTAGCCCAGGCTGGCCTTGAACTCACAGAGATCTGCCTGGCTTTGCCTCCTGAGTGCTGGGATTAAAGGTGTGTGCCACCACTGCCTGCCATACATTCATTTCTTGCTCTCTCAGTAATACTCAGTAAAGAAGACATGCATCCCAGCACAAGTAACAGTTGAAATCTCAGTTACAACAAGAGAAGTAGGACAGTCTCAGATGGAGGTTCAGTTTGAGAAAAGGCCTCCTGGTGCTCACTTGCAGAATGTGAACAGATTTTATGTACGTTCATTTATGCTCATACATACAAGCCTATATATTCATGTGCATGTGTGTGTAAGAATATATATATGTATAATATTGTATATATTATATTATATATAAAATTATAACACACAATACATAATATATAATGTAATGTCTATAATGTTATATATACTATATTGTAGCTAGAGTTTTCCTGCCTGGCCCACAGTCAAGACAAATCTCTCTCACCTGCCAGTCCCACAGCTGTCAGACCCGATCAAGTAAACACAGAGACTTATATTGCTTACAAACTGCATGGCCATGGCAGGCTTCTTGCTAACTGTTCTTACAGCTTCAATTAATCCATTTCCATTAATCTATACTTTGCCACATGGCTCGTGGCTTACCGGCATCTTCACATGCTGTTTCTCATCGTGGCGGCTGGCAATGTCTCTCTGACTCAGCCTTCCACTTCCCAGCTTTATTCTCCTCCTTGTCCCGCCTATACTTCCTGCCTAGCCAATGGCCAATCAGTGTTTTTTTTATTGACCAATCATCAACACATTTGCCATGCAGAACATTCCACAGCACTATATACCATATATATGAAAGCAGTTTAATTCTTTCTTTTACCAATACAAAAAATCACACATTAAGGAAAACTCTTGTTCTTTGGTGACTGGGAACATAGTTAACATTACAGTATTTGCACTTTTCTTTCAGACCGTATGTATCATGGTTAACACTACACATATGAGAGGAGTAGTTGTGTTTTATTTATTGTTATGTCGCAGATTCCAGGGGAAAAAAAGATAGTCAAAAAATATTTGTTAATTTAGTAAGTGTATTATGTAATTAAATTGTGTGTTTCTGAAAATTTTATATGATATATACTTATATAATTTCCCCTCTCCCTCTCTTCCAACTTGTGCCCATTCCCCTAACTCCCTTTCAAATTCATGGCCTTTAATTATTTTATTCTTTAATTATTATTGCTACACGTATATACACATAGAAATTTATAAATACAATCTGCTAGATTCTTTCATTTAGTGCTGTTCATATGTATAAATGTTTAGGTCTATCTATTTGGAATTATATGACCTATCAGTGGGCTTGTCCCTGAAGAAGATTGAGTCTCCCTCTCTCAGCAGCCATTGATTACCTGTAATTCTTCCTTGGGGCCCTGTGAGACTCCCCCCATCCACGTTGGCATGTTAACCCTTGGTGTCTTAGTTTTCTATTGCTGTGACAGAATATCATGACCAAAAGGCAAGTTGGGGAGGAAAGGGTTTATTCAGCTTATACTTCCACATTGCTGTTCACCACTGAAGGAAGTCTGGGCAGAATCCTGGAGACACAAGCTGATGCTGAGGCCATGAAGGGGTGCTGCTTACTACCTTGCTCCCCATAGCTTGCTCAGCCTGCTTTCTTAGAGAACCCATGACCACAAGCTCAGGGATGGCACGACCCACTATAGGATGCATCCTCCCACATTGATCACAAATTGAGAAAATGCCTTAGGGCTGGTTATCATGGAGGCATTTCCTCCTGTGAGGCTCCTTCCTCTCTGATGACTCTAGCTTGTGTCAAGCTGACACATCAAACCAGCCAGGACAACGGAGTCTGCTGTTTTAATTAGGATTCCTATTGCCATGAGGATATACAATGACCATGGCAACTCTTATAAAAGGAAACATTTAATTGAGGTGGTAGTTTACAGTTTCAGAGGTTTAGTCCATTATCAACATGGTAAGACGTGGTGGCATGCAGGCAGACATGGTGCTGGAGAGGTAGCTGAGAGTTCTACATCTTGCAGGCAACAGGAAGTGAAGTGAGACACTGGGAATGGCTTGAGCATATATGAGACCCCAAAGCTCACCTCCACAGTGACACACTTCCTCCAACAAGGCCACACACACTTCAACAAAGCCACACCTCCTAATAGTGCCACTCCCTTTGGGGGCCATTTTCTTTCAAACTACCACACCTGGTATCACTTTTTGTTCCACCAGGAATAGCTTTTAAAATAGTTTCATTTTAATAATTCCAGATTCTTAAACTCATGCCAACTACTGATATTTTTCAGTATTCAGGGCTGGCAACTTCAGAGGCTTTAGTTATGAGTTTTCTAAGGCACATGCATCTTGCTGTAATTTGAAAGTCCTTACCAGCTACTGGTCTTGGCTTTTTACTAAGACACCTGGGGCTGTCTTCAGGATTTCCATCATCACCTCGGAAAACCCATGCTGTTGAATGAAAATTCTCTGTGTAGAATCCCTTTTCTTCAATATCAACTCGAAAGCCAAAATCTGGAGAAAGAGCATCATCTGAGGTAACTGAGGAACAGAAAAGGTGAGAAATTAAGTTACATTCTGGCAAGAAGGAAGATTCAGTGCTTTAGTGGTAAAGGTAAGAAAGCTTCCCAATATGAAGAAGTGAGGTCCCCATGAATAAAGAACATTATCCTTAGATATAAGTAGCTAAGTTTGCTGTGTATTTTCCTTGGGAATAATTTATATATTTTTAAAATATCATAATCAAAACAAATATTCCCGGGACTGTAGAAAAGGGTCAGCAATTGAAAGTGCTTACTGCTCATCCAGAGGACCCACGTTCAGTTCCCATCACCTACATCTAGCGGCTCAAAACTGCTAGCAACTTTAGCTCCTAGAGATCTTTCACCCTCTTCTGGCCTTCACAGGCACTGCACCGATGTGCAAACAGACACAGACAGACACATGAATAAAAATAAAATGAATCTTATAAAACAAAAACAAATATTGCTTCAGGTTCTGGGTTGTGGGAGTCTGGGCACAGGACAAAGTATGGAAATATTTCAGTTAAAGAAAAAATGTTTGCTTTGAAAAACAATATATTACTATTTAGAGGCCAAGTTGAAACCAGGTAAGATTAGGAATTAGCTTTCAGAATCCATTTCAAAATACCAAGTACAAAGAAAAGGATTATCAAATACAAAATCATGTCACTGTCTTTGTGCTTGAAGGAGGCACTAGAAAGTGTATTTCTAGAAATCTCACCGTGGGCTTACATGAAGAGACAAGGAGATGTGTATAGTTTCATCTACCAGTTCTTCTATAGAAGTTCAGTGTTTTCTCTGTGTGTACAAGTGTCTTAGACCCTGTGGAAAGCTGTGTCCATAAAAGAAATGAGCTTGTCTTCCCACATTATCTTCCATGTTTCTTTGTGCCCTGGTTAGAGAGTTCAAACCTAAATAAAATCCTCCTCCAAGCTTTCAGTCTTTCATGCAGGCAGAGTTGAAAAATCACACTCTAGCATCAAAAGTTATCTTCAAGAAAACTCCATCATTTATTTGCATTTCTTAAATAGCATCAGGAGTGGGAAGATATAAAGAACCCAATGATTTTCTCTATTTTGTAAAATAGCACAGGCTGACCTCCCAATGTCCTGATCATCCTGCCCCATCTCCCCAAGTCCTGGGACTAAGTCCTGGGATTATAGGTAAATACCTCAACTATACTTAAAATACAATAGAATATCATATTTCTCTCTCTGATTCTCCTCAGATACTGTAATTGTTCCTATGCCTTTCTCAGAAAGTCTCTGGGTGAAATCTCATTCCCATCCTCACCCAACACAGCAAGGCAGACTTCTGCTGTGGGTGAGGTATATAAATATTCCATTCCACCCCACTACCCCCCCCCCCCCAAGCCCAGACGAGGATTGGTCTTCTCTCTGAGTTTTCTCTGGAGAATCATTCTTAATGGTTCTTGTTCATTTCCACTTTCGCTTTCTTAGTACTAGACTGAGAAGAATAATTATTAGTCATTGTCCTGACACAGAGACAAATGAACAATAGATTTCCAACTTCTCCATTTGCGTAACTTATGTGAGACTGCACCAGACATTTGATGGCTTGGGTGGTTTCAGGTACATTCATTCACTCACTGAATTGATTCGAAATAAATGCTCTTCTTCCCTGAGCCAGGTGCAGTTTTATGGACATTGGGGATAGAATGATGAGTAAGACAGAAGTCCTGGTACAGTGTGAGAGTTCAGAGAAAGGGCAGCTAGCTGTAAACAGAGGCACGTCTAGGAAGTCTGTCACTATAAATCCATTCAGTGCTTTACATGGGGTAGGGGAGGTGGATACATAGCGAGAAGGGAGCACTCCTATTTAAAAATTTAAATCTAAAGTGACAAACCTGACCCCTTTTGAATGTTAATGTAATACCCAAAGTATGAAAATACCACATCAGAGAGGTCCCAGTCAGAATGTAGGTGCATTACACATGGTGTATAAAATTATCTACAGGTTAAATAGATATCTAGCCTAAAAGAATTTTGCTTTTACATTTGGACCCTATCTCCAGACACCTTATAATGTCTATATCAATACGATAAAGCCCCATAAAATCCGAAATCTGAAATACTTGTGGCTATAAGCATTCCAGCGAAGGAATAGTCTACCTATACTTCCATAGGTGATGTTGATTGAGTACTTCTACTATGCTATATTTGGATGTAAAAACAGATGACTTATGGCAATATAATATAGTTATAAAGCTGGAATGTAAATGATATGAGAACTTGATGGGACATGATTCTTATTAGATGAAAATTATGAAAAGTTTAGGACAGAATAATATAAATAGTATAAATCAGAATATGATACTTTCTTTCACATAGCATATTCCAATCACTTCAAAATTGTTTTAAGTAAATCTAAGTGTGACATTTGATTGCAACAGGAAAAGTAAACCAAAAATTTTATAATAATTTATTGAAGTGCCTTTCTGAGCTTTAAGGCTAAATTAAAGTTTTTTTCTTTTTTCTTTTTTTTAAAGCTATAATAGGGTTTTCTAAAGTTTTAGGTTCATTTTCTACATTCTTTACCTTAAAAATTCAGTTGTTAAGTGTTCATTGATGTAGGCCACAGAGATTTCTGGGACAATTGGTTTATCGTATAATATCTTTCCTTCAGCAGTAAATGCCTGTATTGGATATGCAGTGGGTCTGAGGGCAGGTCTTTATATGGGTCTTTGCTTTTATCAATATGTATGAGGCTGATCTAACAGCTCACTTATTTACCAACAGATGTGATTCTGTGGATGAATGGCTCTGTATTCATTCAGTTAGCAAGACAGAGCTAATGAACATACCCTTACATAAGCTGAGACATAAAATTTGTGTTAAACTCCAATGAAGCAGCAAGCCACACACCTGCTGAAAATTTATAGCTGCTAGAGGTCTCAGCATCTGCTCCACATTGAACCTTGATATAAGCAGGCAAGTCCAAATAACTCTTTGTCAGAAAAAGTTTGCTACCAAATGAGGTTTGCTAGCTTAAACATGTCATAAATGAGCATTTCAAACATGAGCTATTAAATGTTTTGCTATTACTGAAATCGCATTTCAAATCGTTCTTTCCCAAAAAATACCAGCATGTTCTTTTCCTTTTCATTTGTAGTTTTGGTCTCATAATAATAATACTAATGATAAATAATAATAGTAATAATAGTTTTTAAAAAGGACTAGAACATGCACAAGTTAGCTCTGAGTACCTTGGGTATCCTTACATTTCTTTCATCCTAGTGTGTCATTTGAAGAAAATGAAGAGATAGTATGCAAAGATGCAAGGCCCTGTTTGGTTGTCCCAGAGAGACCAGGATTTTATTTGTGTTCAAATAGATCCAGTAATTTTCCATTTTATGAAAGAGTGTGAGTTCCGGTTAGACGGCCTGTAGTTGAAACTCAGCTCTAAGACTAATTATATATAACTGAATGACTTTGGACCCATCACTTATCCTCTGCATGAGGCTCTGATGAGCAAAATGAGTTTGGAAATACAGTAACATAACTCATAATTCTACTGGGAATATCAACAAGAAAACACATTATAAGAGGTTTAGCATAGAATCTGGCATCAAGTAGGCACATCCCAATCCTTAGGTCTTACTATGGAATTTATATATATATTAGATAGATTTTTATTTTACTTTATGTGCATGAGCATTTTTTATGCATTATGTCTGTGCACTATGTGCATGCCTGGTGCCCACAGAAATAGAAGAGGGCAGAGGATTCCAGGGGAGTTTCAGATGATTGTAAAACAACTTGTGGGTGCTTGGAACTAAACCTGGGCCCCTTGAACTAACTCTTAACCTCTCAGCTACTTTTCAGTCCACTTAGCTTTTATTATTAGGAATTACAACTAATTCCCTTGCTTCCTCTCTTCCCTGTCCTTCCCTCCCTCCCTCTCTTTATTCCCTTCCTTCCTTCCTTCCTTCCTTCCTTCCTTCCTTCCTTCCTTCCTTCCTTCCTTTCTCCTTCCTTCCCTCCCTCCCTCTCTCCTTCCCTCCCTCTCTCTCTTTCATTCATTCTTTCTTTCTATCTTTCTTTCTCAACGGCAACTAATATTTTAAAAGTACAGTTCCATAATAATTTTATTTACTGAGTGAAATATGGGAAATGCTATGAGTTATTCTCACATGATTAAACCCAAATTCCTGCCACATCTGTTTGTGATACAGGGACCATTTAAGACTATAAAATTCAGAGCTTTCTTTTTCAGTCCCTTCCCACGACCATTCCTAGCCTTCAAGTTATTTACGGAGTATACCTTAGTCAGCATGGTCCACACTCAGATGGATTGATCAACTGTGTCAACACACATAAACATGTCATTCTTAATGTCTTTTCCAGTTATTACATAGGAAGTCAGAGATGAGTGAGATTAACAGAGTGAAAATGCTAGCTGTAATGATGGTCTATAAAGCTGTCAGGTTTTACGTCATATATTAGTAGCATGTGCTGACTCCATAAATGAGAAAAAAATTCAAACCACACATTAAACAATACTAGCCCAAGCAACTCTGAGTGAATTGCAGGCTCTACTTAAAAGAGTTTCTCCAGAAATATAGTGTGCTTTCAATGTGTCTGTGGCTGGATAAGCTGAAAGAGAAGTGGCAGACACTTGTTCTTATGTCTAACATGGACAAAATAGTTAGGATAAGTTTTCATTCAAAACAAAGTTTGCCTCAAAGAAAGCACAATCATTGTTAAATTAAAATTATTATGCTTGGACATTAAATTTGAATTTACATTGAAATTACAGCTGATCTTGTGTTATTTCAAGTGGAGTATTGGTAAATGTTTTAAATAGCTTTCCAAATTGGAAAAAAAAAAATCTCTGATTTGCTGGGCTCGGCAGTTTTCGTTGCATAAAGATTTCCAACACGGCCAGTATAAAGCTAACAACTTTCTACACTGAGCTGCAGTGTAGAAAACACGCATAGCCGGCTTTGTGAACTGCCATGAGCTGGCTCCAACACACGTGATTGTTTCTTATTTCAAG